GATGCAGGGAAGTGGGGGTGTGGGGGGAGGTGCTGAGTGCGGGACACGCAGGGATGTGGGGGTGTGGGTGAGGGTGCTGAGTACGGGACACAAAGGGATGTGGGGGTGTGGGTGAGGGTGCTGAGTATGGGGCACGCAGGGATGTGGGGGTGTGGGTGAGGGTGCTGAGTGCGGGACACGCAGGGATGTGGGGGTGTGGGGTGAGGTGCTGAGTGCAGGACACGCAGGGAAGTGCGGGTGGGGGTGAGGGTGCTGAGTGCGGGACACGCAGGGCAGTGGGGGTGTGGGGGGAGGGTGCTGAGTACGGGACACGCAGGGCAGTGGGGGTGTGGGGGGAGGGTGCTGAGTACGGGACACGCAGGGCAGTGGGGGTGTGGGGGGAGGGTGCTGAGTACGGGACACGCAGGGCAGTGGGGGTGTGGGGGGAGGGTGCTGAGTACGGGACACGCAGGGCAGTGGGGGTGTGGGGGGAGGGTGCTGAGTACGGGACACGCAGGGCAGTGGGGGTGTGGGGGGAGGGTGCTGAGTACGGGACACGCAGGGCAGTGGGGGTGTGGGGGGAGGGTGCTGAGTACGGGACACGCAGGGCAGTGGGGGTGTGGGGGGAGGGTGCTGAGTACGGGACACGCAGGGCAGTGGGGGTGTGGGGGGAGGGTGCTGAGTACGGGACACGCAGGGCAGTGGGGGTGTGGGGGGAGGGTGCTGAGTACGGGACACGCAGGGCAGTGGGGGTGTGGGGGGAGGGTGCTGAGTACGGGACACGCAGGGCAGTGGGGGTGTGGGGGGAGGGTGCTGAGTACGGGACACGCAGGGCAGTGGGGGTGTGGGGGGAGGGTGCTGAGTACGGGACACGCAGGGCAGTGGGGGTGTGGGGGGAGGGTGCTGAGTACGGGACACGCAGGGCAGTGGGGGTGTGGGGGGAGGGTGCTGAGTACGGGACACGCAGGGCAGTGGGGGTGTGGGGGGAGGGTGCTGAGTACGGGACACGCAGGGCAGTGGGGGTGTGGGGGGAGGGTGCTGAGTACGGGACACGCAGGGCAGTGGGGGTGTGGGGGGAGGGTGCTGAGTACGGGACACGCAGGGCAGTGGGGGTGTGGGGGGAGGGTGCTGAGTACGGGACACGCAGGGCAGTGGGGGTGTGGGGGGAGGGTGCTGAGTACGGGACACGCAGGGCAGTGGGGGTGTGGGGGGAGGGTGCTGAGTACGGGACACGCAGGGCAGTGGGGGTGTGGGGGGAGGGTGCTGAGTACGGGACACGCAGGGCAGTGGGGGTGTGGGGGGAGGGTGCTGAGTACGGGACACGCAGGGCAGTGGGGGTGTGGGGGGAGGGTGCTGAGTACGGGACACGCAGGGCAGTGGGGGTGTGGGGGGAGGGTGCTGAGTACGGGACACGCAGGGCAGTGGGGGTGTGGGGGGAGGGTGCTGAGTACGGGACACGCAGGGCAGTGGGGGTGTGGGGGGAGGGTGCTGAGTACGGGACACGCAGGGCAGTGGGGGTGTGGGGGGAGGGTGCTGAGTACGGGACACGCAGGGCAGTGGGGGTGTGGGGGGAGGGTGCTGAGTACGGGACACGCAGGGCAGTGGGGGTGTGGGGGGAGGGTGCTGAGTACGGGACACGCAGGGCAGTGGGGGTGTGGGGGGAGGGTGCTGAGTACGGGACACGCAGGGCAGTGGGGGTGTGGGGGGAGGGTGCTGAGTACGGGACACGCAGGGCAGTGGGGGTGTGGGGGGAGGGTGCTGAGTACGGGACACGCAGGGCAGTGGGGGTGTGGGGGGAGGGTGCTGAGTACGGGACACGCAGGGCAGTGGGGGTGTGGGGGGAGGGTGCTGAGTACGGGACACGCAGGGCAGTGGGGGTGTGGGGGGAGGGTGCTGAGTACGGGACACGCAGGGCAGTGGGGGTGTGGGGGGAGGGTGCTGAGTACGGGACACGCAGGGCAGTGGGGGTGTGGGGGGAGGGTGCTGAGTACGGGACACGCAGGGCAGTGGGGGTGTGGGGGGAGGGTGCTGAGTACGGGACACGCAGGGCAGTGGGGGTGTGGGGGGAGGGTGCTGAGTACGGGACACGCAGGGCAGTGGGGGTGTGGGGGGAGGGTGCTGAGTACGGGACACGCAGGGCAGTGGGGGTGTGGGGGGAGGGTGCTGAGTACGGGACACGCAGGGCAGTGGGGGTGTGGGGGGAGGGTGCTGAGTACGGGACACGCAGGGCAGTGGGGGTGTGGGGGGAGGGTGCTGAGTACGGGACACGCAGGGCAGTGGGGGTGTGGGGGGAGGGTGCTGAGTACGGGACACGCAGGGCAGTGGGGGTGTGGGGGGAGGGTGCTGAGTACGGGACACGCAGGGCAGTGGGGGTGTGGGGGGAGGGTGCTGAGTACGGGACACGCAGGGCAGTGGGGGTGTGGGGGGAGGGTGCTGAGTACGGGACACGCAGGGCAGTGGGGGTGTGGGGGGAGGGTGCTGAGTACGGGACACGCAGGGCAGTGGGGGTGTGGGGGGAGGGTGCTGAGTACGGGACACGCAGGGCAGTGGGGGTGTGGGGGGAGGGTGCTGAGTACGGGACACGCAGGGCAGTGGGGGTGTGGGGGGAGGGTGCTGAGTACGGGACACGCAGGGCAGTGGGGGTGTGGGGGGAGGGTGCTGAGTACGGGACACGCAGGGCAGTGGGGGTGTGGGGGGAGGGTGCTGAGTACGGGACACGCAGGGCAGTGGGGGTGTGGGGGGAGGGTGCTGAGTACGGGACACGCAGGGCAGTGGGGGTGTGGGGGGAGGGTGCTGAGTACGGGACACGCAGGGCAGTGGGGGTGTGGGGGGAGGGTGCTGAGTACGGGACACGCAGGGCAGTGGGGGTGTGGGGGAGGGTGCTGAGTACGGGACACGCAGGGCAGTGGGGGTGTGGGTGAGGGTGCTGAGTATGGGGCACGCAGGGATGTGGGGGTGTGGGTGAGGGTGCTGAGTACGGGACACAAAGGGATGTGGGGGTGTGGGGTGAGGATTCTGAGTGTGGGGCACTCAGGGAGGGGGGAGTGTGGGGTGAGGGTGCTGAGTACGGGACACGCAGGGAGGTGGGGGTGTGGGGTGAGGATTCTGAGTGTGGGGCACTCAGGGAGGTGGGAGTGTAGGGTGAGGGTGCTGAGTGCGGGACATGCAGAGAGGTGGGGGTGTGGGGTGAGCGTGCTGAGTGTGGGGCATGCAGGGAGGTGAGTGTGCTGAGTGTGGGGCATGCAGGGAAGTGGGGTTGTAGGGTGAGGTGCTACCTCCACCCTACACACCCACCATGTGTGTAGGGCGGAGGTGCTGAATGGAGACATAGTGTGTAAGAGATAAAAAGGGAAGGCAGTGCTGAATATGGGATGCACTGGGTGCAGGGGGAAGGTATTGAGTGCCTGGGCATTGGGGGCTCTGGCCATGAGCTGAAGGCGCTGAGTGAATGGAGCCTGTTTCACTTGCTCTGTTCTGTTCTTGCCCTGTGATCCTGTGCATCTGTGCACCTTTCAGGATTTTTAGGTCATACCCTGATGGACTAGTCTGACTACTGCTTCAGTGGGGTCCTCTTAAGTCCTCTTTCACTTTCATTGTTAACCCCGCCTTCCTGCACACAACTCAGTCCATTTCCATTATGATGCTATAAGCCAAAGTCACTAATGAGTACATTCAAACGTTTTGGGCAGACCACCGTCTCTCTTGGTTTTTTGTTATTATCAGATGAACTGCAGTGAATGTAAATCTGGTAATGGTAGAATAAGTCAATTGGACTGTTGCATTTTTAGCTGCTACAGTACTTGGATTCAGTATAACTTATCAATCTGTTTTTTTGAAACAGGATGGCTCATGCTCTCCCTCTCCCCATACCTTGTCCAGTCCAGCTTGGTACTATCAAAAGTGATTCCTTGGAAGCACAACTGCATGAATATGTTAAACAAGGAAACTATGTTAAAGTGAAAAAAATCTTGAAAAAAGGTAGGAGCTGTATTTAGAGAAATGTTTGCAAATATCATGCTTTCTTGTATTTTTGACAATGGATAATATTTTCTTTGTGTTAGAAAATTAGAGGCAGGATGCCCTATGAAAAATGTACTCCATTTTTTTCATTAAAGTACAGAGAGTATTTGGCTGTCTAGCAGATGGCATTAGTTAGATATTATAGCCACCAAACATATGATCTGAAAAATGGTAAGTATAATAGGAAGGAATGTAGTTGAATATAGAACCAGGTAATAATTAAACTGTTGCTGCAGCAGCATTTTTTAAGAATAGCGGAAGTCCCTTTTTAGGAGGAAATGTATAATATCCATTTACATCCCATTGGTTCCATCTGAAAAACAAATCTGTCTTGTTTATTTCTCTGTAATTTTTGGCATCCTGATTATAGTCTATATATTAATGTAAATATTTTGCCAATGATTTACTACTTGCCATTTTTATTTTGCTCTTGTAAAAAAATGACTGCTGTATTTTCTGTCCGAAATATGAGGTTACTAATACTGGATGTTTACAGTTGTATCATATCCAAACAGTGTACAGATATTGAAATAGGGAGAGAGTTTCATAGGGGAGGGAACAGGAGGGAGTTTATTCATCCCATTACCAGTTTCAGTGGCTTAAGGGGTTCTTCCGTGGACTTGAAAAACATAACTGTATTAATACTAGTGGGAGCGACATGTGTAGGTCTGCTTTAACAGCAAAATTAAGTGTCAAAAGAGGCTTGTAAAGCAAACAACCAAGTTGATAATATACGATCCATTATTGCCAATTATTTTGGAGTGCGAGGGATAAGCAGATGAACCAATGTAATAGTGTCTAATGGGAGGAGAGACTAAGGAACACACGTCATTGCTTTAGGAGCGGATTGCTTATTGCCTACATAGCTTCTGAAGCACGTCAGCTCTCAGCCTCCAGCCTTTCTGCTCTTGCAGTGCGTGTTTCTTGTGCGTAACTGTTGTCATGCGTCCTTCCTGCCTTGCCAGTTTGTTAGTCCCACATCTGTGAGTATAAGCAATAGAAGAAATATCTGATTGGCGGAAGGGGTGTTCCTCTGTTAATTAGGAGAAGTGATTGATAAAATTCAGGAAAACATATTTGTAACATAAGCTAAAAAAAGGACATTTAAAAAAGCTTTTCATATGTTAGGTGTCACAGTGAGACATGGACACTGTACTTACTGTTTGTCAGTCTCTGTGATGATAATGATAGTTGATGTATTACATTACACATTGTAATAATGACTAAATATAGACATCTTAGCCTGGGTGTATAGCCAGGAGGTTGATTTAATACTATAGTTTAAGGGATCATTTCTCTAAGGTATAAATAGAAGTGTAGTTGAAAGTGGTTTGTCTTGCTACCCATTAGGGAGAATTCTTTCCTGTGCTTGAAGTAAACAGTTAGTACTGTTTTAATGCCGTTGTACATTATTGATCATCATTCCTTCTCTTTGGGGAATGGGGGAGAGAACAGATATTTACTGGCTGATCTGTATAAAGTAAACTTAATTAAAAGTTTTTGTGAAGTTGGTGTATAATTTTTTTCTAATGTATACATTTAGAAAAGAGATGTAGTGATTTAATTAATTATTGCTTCTGCAGTGTTAGGAGAGCTGATTTTTCAATAGTTTTTCTAATAGTGTGAGAGAAGAAAATGCAAGGTAACATTGATAGTTTCATTTAACAGCTGCTTAAGGCTACGTCTACACTGCAGGCTTCTTGTGCAAGAACTGTTTTGTGCAAGAGTTCTTTCACAAAAGATCTTGCGCAAGAGCACGTCCACACTGCCATGTGCTTTTGCACAAGAGCGTCCATGGCAGTGTGGATGCTCTCTTGCGCAAGAAAGCTCTGATGGCCATTTTAGCCATAGGGATTTCTTACGCAAGAAACCCCTGTTGCCCGTCCACACTGCCTTCTTGCACAAGAGGGGAGAGGAATAACTCTTGTGCAAGAAGTCCTCTTTTCTGATGCTTTATTGTAAATGTACTTGCGCAAGAATACGCGTGCAGTATAGATGCTCTGCAAGTTTTTGTGCAAGAACAGCCTTTAGTACAGACCTAATGTGGAAGTGGGGAAGGAGAACAGTGGGACCCACTGAACCCCTGCAGGTAAGGGAACTGACTATGAGAGAGTTGGCTTGGAAGGAAGGAGGAATGGGGGAGAAGAAGTGAATAGGAATACACACAGTTTCTACAGTGGGGGAGAGAATGGGGCCCTTAATGGAGCAAGGGGATAAGTGAGGGTACACAGATCTAGGGATGTTAATGGTTAACTGGTAGGGGCTGGACCAACATCCCTACACAGAACTCTTAGGCTACGTCTACACTGGCCCCTTTTCCGGAAGGGGCATGTAAATTTCACGAGTCGTCGTAGGGAAATCCGCGTGGGATTTAAATATCCCCCGCGGCATTTAAATAAAAATACTTTGAAATAGGAATAAGACCCTCCGGAAAAGGGCACTTTTTCCGGAGGATCGGGGCCAGTGTAGACGCTCTTTTCCGGCTTTTTTAAAAGCCGGAAAAAAGCGGCGGACATTTTTATTTAAATGCCGCGGGGGATATTTAAATCCCACGCGGATTTCCCTACGACGACTCGTGAAATTTACATGCCCCTTCCGGAAAAGGGGCCAATGTAGACGAGCCCTATATGTTTAATGTCATGTATTTAGCACAGTACTTGTGTATCTTCTGTTAGCAATTATGTTTTTTGTTTTATATTTAAATTTCCCGTAGGAAGTGTTATCATAAAAAAGGTGTGCACATTGTTATTCGCTAGCATATGGTTGTTGCCATTTCAGTTGTTGTTGCTGATACTCCAGACCTTCTGACCTTTCAGGGTGAGTACACAACTTTTGGCCACAATCCTGCATTCCTTATGTAACCCACATTTCCAAAACAAGAGTCCATGGCTCCCTCTAATTGCCAGTCCATATAACCTATTAATGAATCAGTTGCAGCTGCCACCTAAGGGCTGTTTCCCAGTCCAGAAAAGTACTTAAACAAGTGTGTAAATTTAAACACACGAGAAGGCCGTAGTCATTTGGAGATTGGAGGAACCTGGAATGAAGGGTACACAAAAACCCCTGGCATAGGGGAATAGAGGAAATACAGAGCTCCTCCATGGAGCAGTAGGAATGGGGGGTATGAATAGAGCCTTTGGTGTGGGAAGAAACATGGAGAACTTTTTATGGGGGAAATACATGTACATAGGTCCTCTGGTAAGAGATGAGATGGGGAGAATTTAAGGGAGTCTGTAAAAAAAGTAAGATGGGAGAGGGCACATAGGGAGCTTGGGAGAAGGGGGAACAGAAGGATGCTAGGAGCCCATAGGGTGGGCAATAAGCTTGACTTGTACAGAATTATAAAGTGTCCTTCCCCCTCCTTTATGTGAAGAATATGGTCATCTGTTGGCAAAAAGTTTCTGTTTGCAAAAGGTAATATTCTTCTTCTTTCGTGGCCACTTGTTTTAAAAAATGAGTGATTAAGAGGTTAATCAGGGTAGACGAGGAGTGACAAGGAAGAAAGGGGCAGCTCATAGCTAGAAAAGTGCTATCAGAACTGGAAGTGCTTTTCAGGAGGACAAGTTGGACAGTGTTCTTAGTGGTCAGCATGTAGGTGGAGTTACCTGAATGCAAATGTTGTCTGTAACTGCTATCGTTGCCTCTTCCCATTGCAGAAGTGGGGGAGAGCTCAGACTGGGTGATTTGTCTGCATAAACTGAATGAAAGAGCTTTAAAATATTGGTTTTAAAAATTTTGTTTGGAAAGTTTAGAATAGCTGGTTTTGTTTCTATCCCTACATAATATTTTGAATTTATGTGCGTCGTTGTGCGGGGGTTATTTATACTCTTCTTTTTTGTGGTGTTGGATTTTGAAATCTTGTGTAGAAATCAGTTGGCCAGATGATGTGGATGTTTTAGAAAAATCTCCCAAAACAGATTCAAGCCTTTGTCTTTTTCTATATTTGGGGAGACAAAAGGCTGCAGTTAAATACTTGTAATTCCAATACACATTAATTCTTACACAATACTCTCCAGGGAAGCAAACATACTTGATTCCAATGTTAGCTCTATGTAGTGACATGATATTATTTTTTCAAGAAAAACTAGATATTAAGAATATTTTATTTGCTTTTCTAATGGTTATTTACATTTTTATTGCTATGAATTATGCGTGCTGCTGTCGAAAGGGAGAAAATGTTGGTGATATATACTTGCAACATTAGATTTGCTGTTTTTGGATACACCACGTGGGAGAATTGTGCTGTGAAAAGCACTTTAACCAAGTCCCGCTGCTCAGCTTCCGCTTTGCTGCGTTTAAACAGTTGAGGCTAATAACTATAACGCGGAACACTTGCGAATAGTCTAAAGCAGACGAACTCGAAAATAAGCCGCAGAGCACGGAAGAGAGCGCTCTTTCCACGTCAGTCTCTGCCTGACAACGAAATGGCCCCTGAAACATCACGCGAATCAGAAGAGCCTGTGAGAGGGCCGCAGTTTCAGGAAGTAAAAGCGGGCAGGTTTGATTGGCTACCGGGCGCTGCTCATGCTAATCAAGAGGCTGTGGTTGTAAATAGCGACATGAACACATTTCTGACATGCAGAGTTCTAAAAGAAGTCGGACTGTGCTTGAATGGGACGGGCACTTGCGTTAGGATTTCTGTTCCGTAGTTTTCCAGGTGGTGTATGAAAACACTCGCCATGATAAGAAAGCTTGTGCGCGTGCTCCTGGGTATGTGTCCGCGAAATGTGTTGTTAAGACTATACTTTCAGGGATCATTTCTATAGTTTGTAACTAGAGAAGTGCAGTTGAAAGTGGTCGGTCTCGCTAACCACGAGGAGGAGTGAAAGTGTTCTCTTCTGAGCGCGAAGCGAGCAGGCAGTGTTGCTTTAATGCAGCTGCTGTCTGTTATTGATGACCGTTCCTTCTTCCCTTTTGGGAAGTTGGAGGGAGAAAACACAGACTGAGTGGTTAGCTCT